CTGTGGGGATCAAGGGTCAGGGGGTGCAGGGGAGGATGTATTCGCCAGCTGCATGCGGGAAAACTTAAAAGAGAAAGCTAAGGGCGGGGGTCTTTCAATTTCTAAGAAGAAAAGTAAGGCTATCAAGCAGTGGTCTTCAAACTTCCAAATGTCACAACCCTTTAGTACAGTTCCTCCTGCTGTGGTGACCCCAACCATAAAATTATTTTCATGGCTACTTGGTAACTGCAATTTTGCTACTGTAATGGACCATGATGTAAATATTTTTGAAGATAGAGGTCTGATAAAATGACAGTGACCCACAGGTTAACAACTGCTTTAGAGGTGGAAAATATCTTATCAAATCATTAAGCTATGCCTTAGTAATATGAATATCTGAAGTTAATTTAACATAATGGTTCAAGACAAAGAATTTTCAAAACCTGGTGTTTTTTCTTGATAATCACTTGTTTTCCACTCCTTATTCAATCTAGTGTGAGTACTTGTGTGGTTTCTGACTTATTCTAAAATGATACACAAAAACCCTTCAAACACTTAGTCAGAAAACCACTAATGAAATCTTTTTCCAGGAAAATAAATCCTGAAGTCACTACTACTCAATAGTAATTCTGAAAAATGAGAGTGTAGATATTAAATAAGTCATTTCATTTAGTTCTATCTACCACAAAAAATGAACCCAGAACCCTAAAATTCCTATGGAATCAAAGCCTGGGAGAGTTTAGTATTTTCTTTCTAGACTTCATGTCATCCTTTATAAACTTGGAGGCTATGTTTTATCTTATTTTGAACCACTATAACTTTTATTATAATATGCTAATCTTTCCCTGATCATTTATATTGAAATATGACATTTTTTGAATCTCATTATTTCAAGATTATAATCCAGGTTGGAGGTTCTGGATAAAAAGATGCTAAGACAGCTATTGTCTCTTAAAAATCAAAACACAATAGTGATGTTTTCTGACCAATTACTAGTTTAAATAATCAATATTTATTTTAGAAGAAATTGCTTTTGCTGCTGGAGTGTTATCAGGATTCTCTACAACAATACTTTGGCATTTAATTTTGAAATAAGCAAGATTCTCAAGAGACACAGAATGTAGAGCTAGTGGATAATGGGTTTTGGAGTGTATTTGCTTTTGAAAACTGTGACCTGATGACAGGGCTTGTCACAGACACCAGTGTCTAAGCAATTGTTGCTTACTTTACAGTAGCTTCATGGGCTTTGATTCTTTTGGGGGATGCAACAGCATAGATACTAGAGTGTGTGTGTGTGTGTGTGTGTGTGTGTGTGTGTGTGTGTTAGCATCTGATAGTTACCAGATTTAAATAAGTGAGTTAATTATTGAGGAATTTGCAAAATAATGTAGTAAATAAGTACTATCTTAACACATTTAATCACTTTAGTCAAATGTTTTTAATATGCAAAATAATCGATAAATCAAGTTACTGTTGTTATCATTTATATAGAAATTTATAGTGTTATTGTTTTTGTTTCTAAAGTAAAACATAATTGTCTGGCCACCAGAGAAATGTTTTAATTCAAGTGGTTGGTGTTAACTGAAATAAAGTTATGAGACTTAAAGGAAACAAGTGAATACGTGGATCCGTTCCTGTATATTTCATTTGCTAGGTTCTTAGTGTTTACTTATTTATTAGCTTTTTCAATGCCTTGAGGTGATGTTTGAAGCCTCACAAAATAGGATAAAATCAATAAATCATAAACACAGTCTACAGTAAGCATAGATAAAAGTACAAGAAGAAAAATAGATCATATGTAGAGTCCATTATGAAGACCTTATTTACATAAATTTTCCATAAAATCTTCTGATGGAGAAAAATGACTCTATAGAGACAATATGAGCATTAACAACGCAATGAAGTTTTCATTAAGTATAAAATATGCATTATATAGTTGAGTTAAGCTTTGCTTTTTATATACTAAATTAACACCAGTTTATATTTATCTGATAATGGTTTTCAATGAAAGAATTACAAGTATGTTGCATCAAACATTTAGATTTCAAAACTCATAAGCAATAAAAAACATTTTTCTATATTTATTTACTGTTCTAATAGAATGGTAGTGAGAAAGCCAGCTAGTGGCAACTGTACATGTATTCAAGTTTTGTGGAATTGTGAAGAAAACTGATAGCTAAGTAAACAAATTGAAATAGTGCTAAAATAGCACAAACTGATTTTTGTTTTTCTGAAACATTCCAGGTGTTGTCAAAGTGGATTATGGAGATGTGTCAGTCAGAAAAACACTAAGGGAAAATCTGAAGTGTAAGCCTTTTTCTTGGTACCTAGAAAACATCTATCCGGACTCCCAGATCCCAAGACGTTATTACTCACTTGGTGAGGTATGAATTATTTATTTTGCTTAAGTTATAAATACATTTTGCAAATGGAGCAATTTATAAGGAACTCAATATTTTTTCATGTTTTGAATAAAATAATGTAAGGGTTTTTAAATGCATCTATTTTAAATGACTTCTCATTATTTTTCAAGGACCATGAAGGTCTTCATCGTGAGAAACTTTAATGTAAGGGGAAGTTTAAAATTGAGCAAACAGTATTTTATTGTTTCTTTACCAACAGGCTGTGTTTTGGTTAATTAAACTTATTCTCTTAATTTTTTTGTGAATTTCCAGCAGTTTTTTTCTCCTGAGTGTTATAACCATTGATGTCTTCTGGAATGAAAACCAAACTGAGATTTAAAATTCAGCAAACCACCAAAATTATGCAGCCATAAATTTTGATATTATATTTGAACAATAAAATGTATTTCCAAAACAAAATCTAAGATTCAAAATTTGTCATCAGTTATACTCTATTATCCATCTATCTATCTATCTATCTATCTATCTATCTATCTATCTATTATCTATGTATTTATTTTATATTTTGCCCTCATTTCCCCTCCCTTCTTTCTCTTTGCCCACCTTCCTTATGCTCCTCCCATCTGCCATTCCCCTGTTTCTGTTCAGAAAAGGACAGTACTCCCAAGGGTATCAACAATGTATGGCATATCAAGCTGCTATAAGACTAAGCACTTGCCCTTTTATTAAGTGTGGGCAAGGCAATCCAGTATGAGGAATGGGTCTCCAATAGCCAGCCAAAGCATTAGGGACAGCCCCTGCTCCCATTTTTAGGAGTCCCACAAGTAGACCAAACCAGTTCAGTTCAATGCATGTTTCCTGTTTGCTGGTTCAGACTCTGTGAGTCTCTATGAGCCAGGTTAGTTGTTTCTGTGTGTTTTCTTGTGATGTCCCTGACCTTTCTGTCTCCTACAATGCTTCCTCCCTCTCTTCAGCAGTATTCCCCAAGCTTGGCTTAATTTGGCGTTTGGGTTTCTGCATCTGTTTTCTTCAGTTACTGGATGAAAGCTCTCTGCTATTTTATAAATTTCCTTAATGTCTGGATTAATAGAAATAGATGAATTCCCTCCACTGTTCCAATAGTCAATATATTTCAGTAAGATACAATAAATATCAATACCCTTTTAAAATTTTGCAGATAAAAGAAAAAGTGAAATATGTAAGTTGGATCTTAGTGTTATAAAATGGACTTGACATTCACAGGAGTGTGCCATTCATTTATAAAGTACTTAAATTGGTCAGTGTATATAATTGGCTACATAATTATACTATACACATAATAATCAATTGCTCAAAATATAATTTATTTCCTTTATGATATGTGCTCCTTATTTATAGTTTCCCATTTACTGTTGAACGAGTTTCTGGTTCAAATGTAATTTAATATCTATTATTATCAAAGCATTTGACCACAATAATACAATTCATTTAGGAAATAATTTTAATAAATGAGTTTAGATTTGCTTTTAGGAGTAATTTGAAGAGCCTTCTCAATGTTTTATTTGCCAAATTTCTGCCCTCTAACAGTTGTTTCCCATTCTTTATATGGAATCTCAGTTTCTATGTATTTAATATGAATTGTGTAACCAAAATTTTATGTGTCGTAATACTGTCAGTATTTTTTATTTAATTTTTTTTCATTTTGTGTACCAACCCCAGTTCCTCTGCCTTCCCGTTCTCCCACCTCACTCCCCTCTTACCACTCCCCACCCACTCCTGTGAGAATTTTTGACAAGTGTGACTTCTGTCACTAGTTAGTTCTGCTTTGATTTATTTTCATGGGGAGGATGTTATAGTCATTCCTTTCTAATATATAAAATATGTACATTAACATTGATTTCACAGAGCTTTATATTCAGAATGTATGAGAATGCATTTTAAACTTTAGCACTCTTCTGCAACAAGCTATGATAATCCATTGATAACCTCTATAAAAATGCTTAATATTCTCATCTCTTTATTCAAAAACTCTTATTAATCATGAAACTCAATCTACCCTTTTAAAAGAGAAGTGTTTCTTTTCATGATATAGATTATTATTCACACTTTTTCAATAGCATATATTAGGAAATCATTGCCTCCGTCTTAGTCATGGGGTTGGAGACAATCAAAAAGCACACCTGGGAAACTTACTAGGGCTACCAGATTACTCCTGAACACACTAGAGCTTTATTTGATTAAACAAAGCTAGATGTTTTCAACCAAATTAAAAATTCTCTCATAAGCTTTGTGCATATCAAGTAAATCTAATTGACTTCCTTTAAAGTAAAATTCAGTGTAGGTAAATTTCTCTCAATAGTGTGCTAATTTTGAATTATCCATCTTCTGTAATCAACCAAATACCTATGCTTGATTTAAAAATATAATCCCCAGATTATCAGTGATTGATTTGGGGTCTTTGAAATGTGAATAGAATAGGGAGCATAGTGGATTGAGGAAAGTCCCAAGACCTCAACTTAGTCACCGGAATGCTCATATCTCTTAAGTCTCATATACCATTTGCATGCAGAAGGTCGGGTTTTAGCAAATACCTAAGCTAGAGTGTATACCAAAGGTACTGGAAAGAAGTAGTAACAAAGCTTGTTTTTCACTGTGTTAACACTGCTCTAAGTGGCTTATATTAATTTTACTATTTTTAAATGACAATACTTTCCTTAATGTTGGATTTTTTTCTAGTTAATGAAGAAATTATTACATTGGAATTGGAATGACTGACCTAAGGTCCCTTAGCAAGTTAATTTTTGAAGTCAGGATTCAAAAATATATTAGTCTGGCACTATAGCTCATCCTTTGGTTATAAAGTATAGAAGAAGGTAACTACATTCTATTCACTAAAATAGTTTTAACAAATATAATCTGAGTCATGTTTTTTGTGCTAAGAATACAAAGCAAAATTTAAAACAAACAAATAAAACCCCTTACTCTAGAGACGTCCTACTGTAATCGAGACAGGATGCAGGGGTATCAAGAGGCAATCAAACAGGCAAAAGAAAGCAGTCTGAATCAAAAGTACTCCACATGAGCATGTTATGATTTTACTCACATGCCCAATGAGTTTCAAACATTTTTGAGATATATTAAGTTTTGAGCTTCCTAGGATATTAATATATTGTAGTTTCCCATTTTAAAATCAGGTTCCATAGAAATCCAACATAGCATCTGTATCCATGGAAACTGAAAGACTAATTCAATTCAATTTTGCTTAACCATGTACATATAATTTAAGATGGACATCTTGATAATGAGTTAGTGTTAAACTGCTAATGGGCAAAAGTCATGATTTGAGGCTTTTTTCTTTCTTACTGCCTGTCAAGTCTTTCATTATATATGAAGAGATTGTCTCACTAATAGAATTCTAAACTGTCAGATGTAGAAGCTACTTGTTATCAAATTATTGTTTAATATAGTCATGTGCTTCTCCCTTAATTTCTAGTGACCTTGTAACCATTTAACATTTTGCATGATTTGAGTTTTGTAAAAGGTCTATATATTTAATGTTGCTCTATGTGGATAAGAGCAAACATTTCTCCATCAATCAATTTTTCTTTGTAATGTTTTTATTGTTTGATGATTATCATATGTCAACACCAAAATCAACACGAGTAAGCTTATTGATGTCAGACATTATTATCTTACTGTCTGATGTTTACATCTTACTTGGATAATTGAAATATTACTTTACTCAGCTCAGAAATTATGTGTGGTTGAGAATCAGAAGTTAAAAGCTGTGCAATTGCTTTGAACTCAACCCTTTAAATAACTTAATGAAGCATGTGCCTTTTAAACTCGCTAAGGAGATCGTAATGGAATAAGAAGGTTGAGCCCTTTATAGCATTAAATTCTATCTTAAGTAGCCCTTTAGCTTATGTGGATTTAACATGACAGGTTCAGATATTCTAAATATAAGGACTAATTCCTATACAAGATTGAGATAAATAACCTTTGATACCAGTATGTTGATCCATATTCCTTGAGCTTTGACAGGGCAGATATATATATATAGCTTAAAAAGATGAAAAACAGTATTTGTGGAGCCAAATGATTTCACCCTTGGTACTTAAAATTTCCATCTGCCTGCTGCTTGGACATGTTTTGTCACTGGTCTGTGTACTTTGTATTGTGCTGTTGACCTCAGCACTTTTCCTCTTAGATCCTTTAACCACATCAGCTAGTTAATGCCCTTATATTCATGGTATTATATTTCTTAAAAATTTTGAAGAGCCAACCTAAGTAGATAAAAATAGACATCTGTAAAGCTGTGAGGCTGCAGGGATTACAGATAAATTCATTGGCTAACAAGTGTGGAAGCTAAAAAGCTTAAAGCCTTACCATCCTTGGTAATCAGATTTATTTATAGAATCACAGTGTTCTTGACCCTTTACTAGGATAACCCATTAAATACATTTCATTCTAGGTCAGACACACAAATGCAGGCATTCTCTACCCATGCTTTAATTGTAAAATCTTGGGGACCTAGAAGCTAATTTTCATCCAGAATAAATGAGTATATACATCTGTCAGTGAAATATTCATATTTTTGATAATGTAAAGTAGAATTAACTCCAATTTTATTTTTAAGTAGATATCGATTCAAACGGCTGCATTAAACTATACACAGTTTGGGATTTGAGCAAAGTAAGTTTGGGCTAGTTAAATTTACAAATTTTCTGCTTATCTTTCTGATTCACTCAAATTTATAGTTATATATTATAATTAATATGGAAGATATTAATGGAAGATTAACATTGCAATACAGAGTCAGTATAACTATTTTATATGGGTAAGTAACGATAAGTTAGATGATGCTCAATTAAATGATGTATTGTTGTGATTAATATTTTCCAAAGTTCTTCAAGTGTAAATGATGCTATCCTTTATTTTTAGAGTAGAGATTTTAAAAGTAAAGATTCATTGGTGGGATGGGGACAACCCCTCTATTTTTAGATTAGAGTAAATACTCCTCTTGGCAATCCAGCAGAGGG